CGCCTACCTCGCCAGCGCCATCGCGCACTTTAAACGGCGTCGGTTATAATATGAGCGGCGGCGTCGGCGCTGTAACAGAGAGTCCCACCACCGATGCCTCGACGGCAACCACCACGGCTTCAGTTAACTCAAACAATACGACTCCTGGTGAGGAGAGTGGAATTCGACGCAATGAACTGACATTGAATGTAGAGACTTTACTTAGCAGGTAGGACACAGTTTAAGGCGTTCACAGTTGAACGTCTGTGTAAGACTGGTTGTGTGACTCGTATGGAATACGAGTCGGACCATAAGCAGATAGTGTTAAGCAGTTAAAACGCTTATGCTTTGGATAGCGCTTTGAGCACTTTTTTATTTCAATATTCACTATTTTCTAACGTCGAAATTAGATTTCTTGTTAACTTGTAAGATTCCTCAGTTCCGAACGCCTAAACCATAATCGCTGTCTTTTCACTGACGGTTTAGGTATGTTGTTGTAGATGAAAACTTAAGTTCCATGCAGTACAAATCTGTTAGAATCCATAAGGAATGTGATCTTTACTAAGTATGATATTTTCGATCGAAAGTTGTTAGTTAAGATATAGGCAATTGTAGTGGTTTGTATGGGAACTTTATATCTATGCAAGTAAGTTCCTGTAAGAGGAGCGGTATCAAATCTTTTTTTAGTGTGCCATATATAAATCACTTAATGGATCGAGACATCTTATATTGGACTTATAGAAGTTTATTTAATAACGCAGGCCATTTCTAAAGGAATTTTCCAATAATGGAGTGCTTCCAGAGAATAAGGTGGTACTTTTCGTTCACTCCAATAGAGGTTCCAGGGGAAAATATTTATATAAACACGTACAGAACGAAGGGAATCGCTACACATTTCAATAAGAAGGTGAAATATTTCAAATATATTCCTCGAGTAGTTTTCAGAAAGTTTCCGAAAAGTATCAGAAAACTGGTTAGAAATCAAATGTTCAATCGTCTGAGCTCTGACATAACTCAACTTAAATATTGTATCAGCACTCGTAACGTACAGCCAGACTAACTGTCAGTCATTGAAAGTGAACTGAGGCGTCGTAAACGAAGCTGTTAATTATAAGTGTACGAGTTCACAGAGCTTATTTCATTTATGGGAATAAGCAGAGCTCGAAAAATAACTTTTATTCGGTTCGAGGTGATTATTTTGGTGATCGTCAACAATCACTCGTTGCTGGTCTTGCCTTTAATATCTGCTCTGTGTTGCTAGTGAGAGACGTGGATGAATTATGTGTCTTAGAAAGTGTGTAGTCGAACCTATATATTATTATTTTTTGGTTAACTTTTTATATATTTTCTGAAATATTCGTAAGAATTAGCTTTTTTTGTTTTTTGGTTTGGGAGGAATTCTGAAACTAACTGTTATTTTTAAGGATTTTGAAGTCTTTCAAGAGCGAGCATGAGTCTAGAGTAACTGGAGTACCACTTTGGTGAAGAATGGGCTTGTTAGCTCTGTAATCAGTGGTCCTTGTTTCTCACTCTTCCGTAAGAAGCATAGAAGCAACTGCTTCTCTTGAGCTTATTGCTGTATTTTCTATTTTTATATAAAGACCTTTATTGTGATTAATAGCTTGTATTAGTAAAGAGAAGTCAAAAGTCGTATAAGTTGTATATTCAGTGCTTGAAAAATATTCTTGCACAGAGTTTAAAGATTTATGGTTGTTTTTGAATGTTTTTAAGGAAGTAGAACAAATTTTGTGAAAATTTCGACTTGAACGTTTATTTTTAAGAGACAATCGTTGTTACTACATAAACCTAGTAATTGTAATGTAATTTGTAGTTGTATAAATATAAAGTGTAGTCTGAATACTTAGAAAACCAGCAATTATATAAAATATTAAGTATATACATATACGATGCATATAGACATATACAAGTACATTCCTTAATATGCATACATATATAAGAAAAATGTGAACAGTACATAGATATATATATATATGCAAACAATATAAGCTGATAAATATATATAATGATCTATATATTGTACGAAGCATGGTAATTGTTGCTAACTAAGGTGAAAACTCGTATTGAAGTACAACAGTTGCTAATTTTGCAGCGTTTGGGGCGTGTTATATAGCTTTTGAGAATGCAATGCCAAAGATGTAACTGGAAATACCTAAGACGGTACAAACTTACTAGATAATGAAAACAGAAACTTAKTTACAAACAAACAAACAATATCAAACATGAAAAATAAAGTACTTTCAATTAATGAGTATTGAGGTTTATAAAGAGAAAATTAATAACCATAAACTAATACCACTGAGTTTTTACAATAACAAGAGAGTAAAAGAAACCTAAAACCGTTATTAAATAGTTGTAAGTAATTTGAAACACTAAAAAGACAAAAGACATCAAAACCCATTGCCCTGAATTAACCTATAGCATGTTTAGTATGAATTTATATGTATGTATGTGTAACAAAAATTTACTTCCGACCTAAAACTGAATATAACTGGATTAATAAATAAGTCCGAAATAAAATTATTCTAAAAAAAAACAAAGGAATTAATAGAAATCTTTCAATTATTTGAATATTTTGGTACACATCCTGAAAACGAAATATGAAAGCCTTCTTTATTTTATTATTATTATACCCTGAACAGGGTATATTAAGTATCAGTATGTTGAGCCGAGTCGATTTAGCCATGTCCGTCTGTCTGTCTGTATATATGTATACGAACTAGTCCCTCAGTTTTTAAGATATCGTTTTGAAATTTTGCAAACGTCATTTTCTCTTCACGAAGCTGCTCATTTGTCGGAACTGCCGATATCGGACCACTATAATATATAGCTGCCATAGAAACTGAACGATCGGAATCAAGTTCTGTATGGAAAACTTCCACATTTGACAATGTATCCCCACAAAACTTAGCACAGATTATTTTCTAAGATAATAAAGTAATATACGAAGAAATTGTTCAGATCGGTTAACTATATCATATAGCTGTCATACAAACTGAATGATCGGAAGCAAATGCTTCCTTGGGAAACTTCCTCATTTAACGATATATATTGACGAAATTTGGTATGAGTTATTGTTTATACAAATAATGTAATATCGAAAGAAATTGTTCCGATCGGCTCACTATAGCATATAGTGCCATACAAACCGATGGATCGGAATCAAGGGCTTGTATGGAAAACTTTCGCATTTGACGTGGTATCTTCAAGAAATTTGACATGGATTACTGCTTAAGGTAAAAAAATAATCTCCGTAAAAGTTTTTCAGATCGGATAACTATAAAGTATAGCTTCCATACAAACTGAACACATAGTTACTAAAAGAAACGCACCTGTGAAGGGTATATTAGCTTCGGTGCAGCCGAAGTTAACGTTTTTTCTTGTTATATATTATTTTTATTAAGCAACGTATTTTCCGCCATCGTTTTATACTTGTAGTTTATACAGCTGGGTTCTTTTGGCAATACGGAAAGGTCCGTAAGGCCCCAGCGGAATCATTATAAATGCGATACCCTGGTCGGGTGTTGTCATCATTCTGAAATTACATCATTCATTTGGGTGAAAATAAGAAACATGGTCAAGTAGTTACTTTATGTCGGTCTAGAAATAACGCGAGAAAGATTTTAGCTTAGATTTCTAGGTCTGACAACTGAAAGTTTCCATAAGTTTTCAATAGCGCGCTAGTCATTCTTCCTTCTCGCTGTTTGACGCCAATCGGATATCTCAAGTGTAGCCAGGCCCTTCTCCCCTTAGTCTTTCCAACGGAATGGAAGTCTTCCTCTGCTTCCCCCGGCTTCCACTGCTTTGAATATTCTCAGAACTGGAGGGTTTTCACCCTTTTCTGCGACATGAAAACTCCAGCGGAGCCGCTGTCGCTTAACTCGGTGAACTCATCGTTCCATAGACTACGATATTCGCAGTTGCCAATGCGTAAAGAACCATAATGATGCGCAGGATGTGAATGATAAGTGACTTTTAAAGTTCGGTTTTTGTTCGTCGAGGGTAAAGTCCCTCCCTCAAGGAGGCCTACTCAGTTCGAAGTAGCACCTCTTGATAAGAGTTATTCTGCGTTGGATTTCGAGGCTGATATTGTTTTTTCACCGACTCTTTATTTAATGACAGGTTATATTTGGTCTTGCCCTCGTTCACTACCAGAGCCATTTGCTTCACTTCTTTTTCCAACTTGGCGAGAGCAGAGAACTAACGGAGCGGTTGTTATTGCCATTGATATCAGCGTACGCCAGCAGTTGTACGCTCTTGTAGAAAATTAGTTGCCCCCTCTTGTAGAAAAATTAGCTGGGTGAAATCACAGTAAAGTCTTCTCGGAAACCTCATTTAATACAAAACCCTTCGCAGAGGTTCTCCACAATTATGCACGAACTGTTCGTGTTAATAAGTGCTATTTTAATAATACAGCTATGTAAGTTTTGTTAAAATGTTCCCAAATTTCGTCAAGAAGCCAACATCATTTCGAAAGTCGCTTTAAAGTTCGCGCAACTAATTTTAAGCATAGGAAAGCGCAGTAAATATCACAACAAAGACTGAATTCACAGCGCACAAGTTCTTACTTAAAACCTCCATAGAGTCAGTCTTTACTAAAAAAAAATCGGCTCAATTTAGCCATAGTTCCTCGTAAATAGCCTTTACCTGCACTTAGGCGTAACACTAACTTTCATATTAGGTGGATGATCCATCAAAAGAGCATGCTTAGATTTATGGAACGTATCTAACTCACCCGCACCTCAGCACGGGGCCTCCAATCAACCAAGAGAATACTTTGGGTGACCCAGGACCAGGTGACCCCAGTGGTAAGTGCTGTGGTAAGAAGCGGCTTATAGTACTAAGTTAAAAAATCCAGTAAGAGTTCAAACACTTTATATTTTCGTTAATTCGTTAATTCTTCATTACATTACATCAAAAGTCTTGATATGACGAAGTGAGGAACTTTCTCTTTACTAAATCCGAACTCTTTAAACAAAATGAGAATCACACTATTTTTAAACTCACAAGTTCTTGACAATGTCTTTGACAACTGTGCGAAAAAGCGATGAGAGCAGACTGTCGTAGCAGCGTTGAGTCAATTGCCTTAAACCCAGCAGCAACGTGCCGAAACGCAGCCAGTTCGTTTGTTGCATGGTATATCGGGCCAGCGAAACCAAAGCGCCATTTGCATGACTCTCCAGCAGCGTTGCATTCTCCGCGCTCAGGGCCAATTCTGCAATTTAACAAATATGTAGGCAATCTCTGCCAAAGATAAACTCCTACACAATAATATCGGCACCACTGGCATCATCACCACCCCTTACCTTTCCGGCAAAGTATTAAGGTTTCAAGAAAATTCAATTCCATCACATCGGCGCGCAGCTGCTTCGCTTCAGCGATAACACGCCGCAATTGCGGATCACCGCAGGCATCAATCATAGACGTTATGTCGAGCGACCAATGGGAGGCACGCAACACAAAGCATTCATTCCACACGACATTCAAAATAGCCTCCTGTTGCGTGGGGGTTAGTGTACGAAATTGTTCATTGCATTTAGCCTGACGCAGACAAGTGACTAGGATTTGTGCAAGTATTTGGAAATTCACCGCATTGCCGGCGGTCAGCGCCGCAGCGTGTGGCTTCTGCTGCAACGATGCATAATGCGGACGATACGTATGGTGCATATAAGCACAGCGTGTCAGTGTTAAACTTTTCGAATTTGGTGCGCCGTGTTTGGCCGCAGCTGCTTGGGTGCGCGGTCCGCGCTCCTCTTGCACGGCGGCCACGTTCATGCCCACGGCCAGGCAGCGTTGCAAACGACAATATGGACACCAATTGCGGCGTGCCTTATCCACAATACAATTGCCTTTTGCGGCGATGCACGTATACAGAGTACCTTTGCGCACACTACGCTTGAAGAAACACGAGCAGCCATCACAGCAAAGTATTCCGTAATGTTTACCCGAGCTCTGATCACCACATACTTGGCAAACACTGTGTGTTATATTAGCTGGGGCGAGAGTTGAGTTGATGCCATTGTACAAATGGCAGATTCTTGATCTCGGGGACTCTAGCGTGTCATCAACGCTACGTAGATCCGTCATCCTTAAAAGCTGCGCGCTAAAACTCAACTAAAATCCTGCGCTGAGTTGCAATTCCTTTTTATAGTCGCGTTCACTTTAGGTTCTTACTCGAGTTTCTGTTGAGCTCGTCAACACCCGCACTTTTACACACATGTTGCATGCGTCTTTCGCGAGCGAGTCGTTCTTTCCAATTACATAGCCATTGTTATTGGTTATTGTCAAGAGACATATGTTTACGTGCTACTATTTTAGTTTTGTCAATCATTGCCGCGTGTCCCCTCTTATAAGGCATATTTGCATAAGTTCATATGTTTGGTTGATTGGTCAATAAGCGGTTATCCTGTCGATGAATATTGCTCTTCAATGGCAAAGCAAAAGTTCTCAACTTTTCATTAATAAGTCTACGAAAAATCGTCATCGGGACTTAAGTGTACCGACTATTCGTGGAGATTACAGTGGAATGCGATTAGTGTGAACAATGGAGTTCTAGTAGCTGACAGCGTTTTTGAATATAAGACCCAGGGTTTTGGAGAAAATGAAACGAACAGTTAGTTTATTTAAAGCATAGAGAGATAAGATTTGTATCCCCTGCTGAAAGGGCAAATTATAGAAGAAATATTATGATAGTAATGTCATAAGCGGTACATTCAAATCCTGAAATAGTATGCCAAGTAATCGCTGACAGTCGTGTTAGTAAAATAATAGAAAGAATCCGAGCGAAATAGAAAAGATCAGATAGGTTGCTTATGGAATAGGTATGAGAGGCATATTGGTATGAAAAAATGTGTAGTGGTCCCGGCCGGGACAACAAAGTCAAACAAAAAAAAAAAAAAAATAAAAAAATAAAAGGAGTCACGAGTCTTTTGGCCTAACGTCTATCTTGTACGGCGCAGTGATCCGCCATTGGCTTAGACTGTGTTCAGATACGCTTCCAACGTTTGGATATTGGTTTTATATCAGCAAAGGACTCTTCGTACTACGCGACGACGGTGTTCTCATTATCAGATTGAATTAGTTATGGTTGCAGTTTCAGATTCCATGAAAATTTATGGTACCGAATCAAATTTCTGGTCCGATCTTGCCCTGGATAAATCCAAGAGTTGCAAGTTTTAGATGAGACCCAAAAAGTCATACTACATGCATTGAAGTAGCCGCTCCTTCTTAACTCTCCTCTATAACTAGAACCAGTAGTTCGGTATTTGAAACGATATTACTTTTTCGATGCCATTAAGTATCATCAGTCAAGTGCTAACTGTATTATGAACTATTTTTCAAGCAAGTCTTTAACGTTTCGTATGTATGTATACTCGTTACACAAACAGACAGTTACATAATTACACATGTCTATATGTTTTAGCATGACTGACCATGTTTATTTACACAATGATTCCTAACCAGCAACTACCGAGAATACCACTTAAAACTCGCCTACAAGCAATAACAACAACGTTGTGAATGATGATTATTTGGCTTTACTGCACACAAACACACGTGCATAAGCGAGTAGATATGTGTTATTGTAAGAGAGTGTTAGACAATTTGTCAATTGTGACGGGTCATTGTAAGTTATGGGTGTTAACAGCAATCAAAGAAGCGCTAACATTTTGCCACCTTAATAATTTGTAAATAAATAAATTGATTTGATTAGACCTTTGCCATCGCTGATTTAGGGAAAAGGTGTGGCTAGTGGGGCGTTTGTGTCAAATGCAGTTGACGTTGATAAGGGAAGAATAGCTGCTGCCAGCTGAGGGCGCCCTGTATAACCTCTACAGCGTATATTCAGTTTGTTACGATGATTATATGAAAACTTATACCATATAAGGAATTAGTCCTTTCGTTTTTCAGTTATTGCTCTGGAATTTTGCTGACTTTTTTCTCATAACCCATAGGCAATGGTAGAATTTTCGCAGAAACATTTATGATCGGATCACTATACCATATAGCTGCCATACAAACAGAAAACCGCTTTAGTTCATAAAACATTCAAGTTCATCCATCCTATTAATGCATATACAAGTATTGATTTGCTACTTGAAGGGCAACCCTACGGTTATTTCAAACCACGGCCAGCTGTCATGTAAAAGGTTTTACATTTGTTGCAGAATGTAATAGATCGAATTTTACATTTTACAAAACACTCACATTTTTTAAACTTTCTATGCCATAACAGTTTGACAAACCGATTTTAAAGATTTCCACTGCAATGAAATTAATCAATTAATGTAACTGTACATTTTTATTCACAAAATTTGAAATATTTATTAAAAATTTGATACCTTCAAATAAATTAAATCTGGCAACACGGCATTGCATTTACTTCACCGTAGTTGCTTTTCTCACTGACATTCGTAAATATTTATCCGCTGTCAATAAATAAGTCAATGTGCTTAAGACTTTGGACACATTTTTTCGTTTTTTCCGGAAAAGTTTTCAAAATTATTAAAATTTTAGTATTTTTCTTTAGCGAATAGCAATGACTTTTGAACAAACAATACAACACACAATCGACGGAAATGTGTGTCGACTACAGATTGCGCCAGTGGAGAATGGGCGCACCAAAGCCGGTGATGGTGACGCCAAACAAACTAGCACGCCAAATCGACGCAATTGTGATATATTTGTGGAAGATCACAATTTCTACATATTCGCAGATACACGACTCTACCGGTACACACTTTTCATTAATATTAAAAAAGCATCTACTTAGTTACACTTTTTTGTAGATTCCATTTGCCGGAGCGCCAATTCGACACCAAAGACATGAAAAATTTTGTTATCAATTTCAATACCCAAACTAATAGTTACGAATTAGATTTACCCTGCTTGCCGCGTACAACTGATGACCAAAAAACGCCACCAGAAAAGAGCGATGCTGAGAAAACGTGTGCGGATGGCGCAACGCCACCAAATATTGAATTGTGGAAACTGAAACGCATTACCGACAACTGCTTCCTGCGCGTGGATAAAAGTGGTGAACTGTTGAAATTCGTAGCAGATTTTGGTTATGGTTTTGCAGGGAGGTTTAAGGGGAATCTTACCGGATTTGTAAGTTCATTAAAGGAATGACAATGTTTATGTCTTTGACTGAACTCTCTTTTGTATACAACAGGACGATAGATCTGCTATTGCACAAATGCCGGAACCACGTACAGTTAGTCCGCTACAACGTAGTATTGACCGTGAAATAGACGAGCTGAAAAACTTTTCACGTGATCAGTATAAATTGAATTTCGTTGAGTTACAAGTGCCCGAAGGTCATGAAAATCCTATGAAATACAACAATAATTATGAAGGTGTGTATATTTATTGCTTGTTGGGAAATTCTTAGCCGTATTAATTTGGTTGAAAATTTAATGAAGTTAAGCAGAATTCGCTGGGAGCATATTGTGTACTTTGTAAATCTTGTATGCTAAGTATATATTACTTTAAGATGTGCAACTATTTTCCAGATGTTAAGCTAACACGCGATGAAGAATGCCTGCTACACAATTTGACACGCAAGTCGCAAGAATCATCGCTGTTTGCCGACTACGAACAGTCGGATGTGGATTGCGGTCTGATATGCATACTGCTGGCAATTTGCTATGATATACGGTAACACTGAATGATTTTCAGTTGCTCAACACACAATAACAATACAATTACTTTTCAGCACCACATCGAATGAGCCGACGTGCGAAAGCGCCTGGACGCGCAGTATTCTCTCCGCCACGCTTAGTTACTTTGAACCGTTCGAAAACATTAAAGATGTTGTTGTTAGTTTTTTACGCCGCTCACTTATTTATCCACTGTATCGCAACTACGACTTGGGGCGTTTGTGTCTGCAAGATGCCATTGATGGCTTGAAGAAAAATCCTGCTTGGGTATTGAAACAGCTGTTGCAAACGCATGCGTTATTCGCCAGCAGCGATTGTAACCAACAGATTTTTAATCAGTACTACATTGAAGATTATATACGTTATGTGGCCGATAGTAATCGTTGCGGTCCTACACATTTGCGGCTTCTAGCGCGTAATCTGAAAAATGTGCTGCTTGATGTATCGAAAAAGCATTTACGTTTGGAATTGGGAGAAATCGAGACTGAGTTGTTGAAAGAATTGATCACAGATATGCATTTGGGTCACACTTCGACTAGCGAGGACGAAGTCGACGATGATACAGATGAAGATATTGACGATGAAGACGCTGACGATACCAATGAAGAAAGCGGCACAGAGAGTGGTGAAGATGCTACAGACTCGTCATCGACCACGGCGTCTTCCTCTTCCAGTAGTGATACCGAGCAGAATAGTGTTATCGAACAGTGCAAAGATGTTGTGAATGTGGCAGAAACTTAGAATTTTCAACTCCACTAATTACTTACTACTAGTATGTGTGCTTTTAGTTTTTTTGGGTTACATACACATGTGAAAATCAAGAAGTTAGTGTAGGTTATGAAAATAATGTAGTATTTATTAAATGTATGTTTTTAGTAGCCGATAAGTGATGCTTGCAAATCAATTGACATTTCCATAATGCATTTTAATAAATATTTACTTGAATTTCAAAAGTACTTTGAAGGCGAGATTTATAATCAGTAATATGGGATTTGAAGGGCGTATGGGGCGCGTACGGAAATGTACGTATGATGGACAAGAGGTGACGCCTAGAAAAGTATTTCAGATTTCCTGCAGTTCCAATCTCAATTTCAGATCTATCAACAAAACTACATTTATTACGAAAATATAACTTTTAAGCTTTCTTAGCAAATAATTAGTGGAAGAAAAATGGCATATACTATTTATGTGTATATATTTTATCGACTTTATTTCATAAAGTATATATCGCTTATTACAGGCTTTACATTTTCAATATAAACTTAAATCTATACTTTAAATTTCGGTCTCCTGTGCATGACAAGCAGCTTTTTTTACAAATCATATGTTTTTAAGATATTTTAACATTTCTTTGCATACATCTGTATATATATGTATGTACATACAAGCAATTATTTAGTTATGAGTATTTCTATGCTAACATTT